GAGTGAACGAATGGCAAATAGATGACGGAAGGAGTGGCTGGATGACCACAGGAGTCTGTTAGTGGGCAAAGACCTCTCAAGACTAAAGGCCCATGGCTTTGGGCCAGGCCTGGCCCCGTGGAGCAGGGTTGTGGGCAGGCAACTTACCGGGCAGTGGAGGGCCGGTGTCCACCGTGGACCAGCAGGGCCCGGGAGGGGGCATGGAACACCATGGAGTGGCCGGTGGCGGCAGGAGGCCGCCCGCCTGCTGGAATCACCTGCTCCCAGTAGCCCCCACTGGTGCTGTCGAGGCGGAAGCGGAACAGACCGGAGGAGAAGAGGTCGTGCTGAGTGCGGCCCCCAGACACATAGAGCCAGATGTCATCCACCAGGGCAGCTGCGTGACCTGCCAGGCCTGGGGGCCCCGTGGAGCTGGAGGCAGGCGGTGCCAGGAGCTCCCAGCGGCCCCCGCCCAGTGGGCTGAAGGCCCACACGTCGTTGGTGAGCGAACCGTCGGCCAGCTCCCCACCCATCAGCACCAGGGAGCCGGCCCAGGCCACAGCCACGTGGGAGTGACGGGCAGCCTGTGAGGAAGACACAAGGAGGTAAAGATGGAGAGGGACAGAGATGGGGACACAGGGAGAGCCCGAGCCAGGCACACACAGAAATACGGAAGGATGGAGAGACAGGGACAGAAAGGGAAAGGAAGAGGCAGACACAGAGGGACAGAGACAGAGAAGGTGAGACAGAGAAACACGGTAGGAGAGGGGGAGGCAGCAAGACAGAGTCAGAAGCAGCAATGACAAAGAAAAGCGACAGAGAGACAGACCCAGAGACACTGAGACCCAGAGACACAGAGACCCAGAGTGTGGAAGAGCAAAAGTCAGACAGACAAAAACAGAGAGATGAGCAGAGAGAAACAGGGACACGCAGAAAGACATGGAAAGAAAGCTAAAGGAAGAGGAGAGACAAAGAAGGTGAGAGAGAGAAATGGCAAAACAAGGAGCAGTAGGTTTCTGTATCAAGCTGTGGGGGTGGGAGGAGTATGGGGGTGACAGGGGACAGTCTGGGGGGCCATGGCTGGGTCTGACTGAGAGGACAGGTTCCTCCAGCCGGGGCGGAGGAGGGGCCATACCGGGGCAGGACTCAGGTCCCAGCGCTCCCAGGTGTTGGTGGAGAAGTTGTACAGGACGAGGTCACCCAGGGCGTTGTTGAGGTCCTGGCCTGCGGAGGGGTGGACGGTCTCAAGCCCTAGCCGTAGGCTGCCAGGCCCCTGGACTCCAGACCCTCATCCCATCTGCTCACCTCCAAAAACAGCCAGCAGCCCTGGTGGGGACAGGAAGGCACCAGCCGCCCCAATGCGGGCAGAGAAGGCAGGGTCTCCGGCACTCACGTTGTGCCACCAGCCAGCGCCCTGGTTCTCCCACAGGTGCAGGTCGCAGGCACGTCCCAGGAAGCCAGGCTCACAGCGGCATGGTCCCAGGGGCTAGGGGGAAGGGGACATAAAGGCAGGGACAGAGAGAGAGAAAGAGACAGAGACACGGGGGAGGGGACACAGTGAAACAGAGCCAGAGTGACACAGGGAAAAAGGGAACAGGACAGACAGGAAGGGAGAGAATGGAAAAGAGAGAGGGAGGAAGGACAGGAAGAAGGATACAGGCAAACAGACAGCGACAGAAAAACAGGGGACACAGTGACACAACCAGAGAGAGGCAGAGAGGCAGAAAAAAGAAGACAAACCAACAGAAAAAGGAAAGACTCGCAGATAAAAATGAGGACAGACAGAAGACAGGTTGGAGAAGAGATGGTCAGTGAGGTCAAAGTTCAACCTGGGCTGAAAGAGCTCAGATTGGGGGAGGTCAAGGCAGGAAGGGCTCCAAGTGTGATGCAGCCCCAAA